CTCCCGATTGTGAACATTCACTGCTGCTTATACAATATTTTGTGGCCAGAGACTTTAAATTGGATCCTCAGCTGTATAAACATTGCCACGATGATGCCATTAAATATTGTCATGCCAAAAAACAATGGGATGATGTTACCGATATACAAATGGATCCTGAGCGAGGACCACTCATACTGCCCTGTCTTCATCGCATGGCCTATAGTGACGATGAACAAAATTCCCTTAGACCCGCCTGTTTTAAGGAAGTTAAACGTGTTATGCGCCAAAGAGCTGTCTCGGTAGATCTAATACCTGAAGTTGAGGATGCCTGTATAGAAGATTTGTCCTATTATTGTTTTGAAAATACCGGAAAAGGTGCTGAAATGGATTGTTTGCAAATACATTTGGAAAAACTACAAACTTCCTGCAGGGTAAGTGTGGGAAATGTATATTATTCAGGCAAAATGATAAACATGCAACTTATTTTAGGAAGCTGTCACTCAATATACCGAAGAAGAGGCTGCCCATGTTGAATTGAATCCTGTTATAATGTCTGTTTGCACGGAAGCTATGAAGACTCACTGCAGTCACATACTCAAGGGTGGCAAAGACAAGGGGGATATGATGGATTGTTTAATTTCTCACAAAAATGATGCCGATTTACGACAGGATCTCAAATGTCGTGCTGCCATAGAACATTTTCAAATAATTTCCTTGAAAAACTATCATTTTACCTATAAGTTTAAAGAGGCCTGTCGTCCTTATGTAGTGCGTTTTTGTTCGGGTAGTAGAACCAAAAACGATGTTGTAGCTTGTCTCAGTGAGGTGATGCGCAATGATACGATACGTGGTCAACGACCACGTATACCCAAAGAATGTAGACAACAGGTTAAGGCTCAATTGTATCAGCAGCGAGAATCATTGGCTTTAGATCCAAAATTGGCAAATGCTTGCAGCAAGGAGATAGAAGAGTTTTGTTCCGACAAAAAGGGACCAGGAGAGGTGAATAATAAGAATGCAAGTTCTACTTTTTTTCATAAAAGACATCACATTAATAAGTTATAATTTCATTTCATTTCTTTTATTAACAAAACCAAGAAATTGTTAAAGAAACGTTGTAACTTTTTAAATATTTGTGTAATTTTCCAGGCCTTAGAATGTTTAGCTATGAATACACCACGCTTAGGAAATTCCTGTCATCATGCTATATTTTTGGTGAAAAAATCCGAATTGGGTGACAGTGCCACTGATTATACCTTAATCAATACTTGCAAGGAAATGACCTATAAATATTGTTCAAAAACAGATCCTATGCGTTTGCTGGATTGTTTAAAAACCTACAAAGATGATCCGACATTTGATGCCCGCTGCCATTTGGTGGTGGTTAATCGTATGATTGAACAAAATACTGATTTTAGATTTAATCCAACATTACAATTACATTGCGGTAAAAATATCGATCGTTATTGTTCCGATATTGTGGCTAAAGCCGAACCAAATGAAGAGCTTAATGGCAAGGTAAGTTTGAGAGATTTTAAAATAATATATTTTTTTGGATTTGCAGCATTTGTATGGACTACATATCAATCAAATGGAGTACCACAGAACATTGTCCTATCCCTATACTGTTTAACTTCTTCCTCTCTAAACTCCTCACACTTGTTTTACTTCTACCTCTTTAAACTTTCCATGCCACCACAAGGCGTGGAAGAGTTATCATATGCGAAAGACTGTAACATTACGGCGAATGGTTATTTCGAATAACCACCCAAAGGGATCACTTTTAACAGCCTGTTGATCTCCTCAGATCATGACTTTACATTTACGCACAGATTGCGAAGTAGAAACAAGTTCCTCAAATCGCTAACAAGTAGACATTTTTGGTCAGTGATAATTTATGCTGCTCCAGTGTGTTAGCCTTTCGCTAAGTGATACCCAGTGAAGGAATATTTAAACAGATACAGGTTGCATGCAAACACCTTCATTAGGGAACGAATGTTCTCACAGTCCAGAAACACAATATTATGTTGAATAAGAGTTACCGCTGTGATGGCACCGTTTTAGTGCAGGGTGCGTTGAATTAAACTTCACATTCAATGAGTTTCAAAGACCATGCCATTAATACTACGTTAGCAGTATACAGCATGAATGTCATACTTGTATGTCACACTTCGTCTATAGCAGATATGGAAGAAAACCTGCTTCGGGAAAGCCGAGTAGTTCTGGTACAACTAAGATTAGGATCTTTCGGCAAGTAGCAGTGGAGGAGAAGCCAAGTGCCCCTCCACGAGATATTAATGATACAGGCCGAACGAAGGAGGAGAAGGCTAGGAACGGGACTTTGAGGTCTCTCGCCTATCCGTCTAAGATGGCAAAGGCTGATTCTTCAAAGTTCTCGTCAGAAGGCACCGACAAAGCGTCGCTAAATTCGAGAGAATATACGGCCCCGTTGGTGACGTTCTGGATTGGTCCACTCCCTGGAGACAACAGGTGGATGCTGCCATCAACCCGGCTAAAACTCAAAAGAGTGATGGGTCGATAGCAACATCAACCTGCAGTCTGCCAAAAGGCAAAGAGGGTGGTATCCCGAAAACCAATGCGCTCATGTCTTCGGAGCGAGCTGCGGAGGTTAAAGGTCTACCACTCAAAAAAACCTAGCAAGGTGGACACGACACCGGGAAAGGTAAAAAGGACCGGTGAACTTCCGGCCCGCTCTCCTACTGACCTCCGTAAGGACGTCAATAAGGGAAAAGGCTCCGGTACTGACTGACCCTCCAAACCAGTGGTGTCAAAGTCACCCAGCACAACGAAGAGGTCTGGTCCATCCCCGGCTGGCGCTCCTAAAGGAGACAATTAAGAGAGCCAGATCTGGGGATGATCAACCCTCTTCATCCAGCAAGAAGGTGAAGAAGTCAACCAGCCTGGATGTATGCCTTCAAGTGGCAGTCATTGATCGGAATGATCCAGATGGGAGGATCAGTACCGATTTCTGGCAATCAATTGAAGGTACGCTGATTGATGAAATCGCCATCTTTGAGGGTGGGTCGGAGGATGTATCCTTCAATGGTGCAGACTGGGTTAAGGGCGTGAAGGTTGTCAATTGCGGTAACAAGAACTCCTTGGAATTCTTAAAATCGGCAATTGGCAAATATAGCGACATTAACACAGCAGCAAAGCTTGAGGTGATGCAGGCTTCCGAACTGCCACTACGGTCAATAGTAACAGTGTGGATTCCACCACCCGTAAGAACGGTGCAAACCATACTGGCACTATTGGCCAAACAGAATGGTGATGTTTAGAAGTGATACAAATATAGCGTACTCCGATAAAGTATCTAAATGCTGCAATATTTCTTAAGTTATGTTAGGTTACGCAAGATAGGATGTGAACTCGAGTCTAAAATAAATAAATTACTCATTCAATATTTCAATTTCTTAATATTGCACTATTTCCCACTTATTTTTAGGTTATACAATGTTTAAAAGATAAATTCCGTAAATCATTATTAGACGAAGAATGTTCACAAGAAATGGTGAAAATACTACAAGAGCAAGCGCTCAATTATAAATTAAATCCTTTATTGCAAACTTTTTGTAAACATGAAATTGCCGTTCTGTGTCATCCCGAAAAAATGGTTAAAGAACATGGTTTAGTGGAAGAATGTTTGAAGAATGCATTCCTTAATGAAAAAATCATAAATAAAGATTGTCGTTTAGAAGTGGCGACTTTAATAGCGGAAGCTAAGGCTGATATACATGTGGATCCTATATTAGAAGAAGCCTGTACAGATGATTTATTGCGTTATTGTTCGAATGTTAAAAAGGGCAATGGAAGAAGTAAGTTTCCAAATTAAAAAGCAATAATATTAAAATCTAATTTTGTTTAAAAACTGCTTTAAAAATTGTTATTTGTTTTCTTTTAGAATTGAAATGTTTACAAACAGTGTTACAAGATCATTCCAAAGCCATGGAACAGGATTGTCGCCTAAAATTACAAAAACGCATAGAAATGTTTAGAAATGCTGATACGGTAAGTTTTTTTTTTTTTATTTTCCACTTTTCAATAAAACCTTTAAAAATAAAACAAATATTTAGGTCTTAGTACAACCACCGGAAAATATGGAACAATTAGTTAATCAAGTTGTTAGCTCACCAGCTAAAAAATTCTTTATTGTTATACTTATGACAGCGGTGGGCATGATCTTTATAATGGGTATATTTTTGGGTCGTGTTACAAAACGTGCAATGAACACCAAAAATAAATAATATTTATTAATTAAGTATGATACAAAAGTGACTTAATGTATGTTTTTTTTTTAAAGCAAAGAATTTTATAAAAAATACTAAACAAAGTCTACCCACGTTTGTTAGAATTAAATTAGTGTTTTAATGGAAATTATAAAAAATACTTAACATCTTTTAGAACGAATTAGTTACGTCCAAAAAAAAAAAACACCATCAAAACAAACACCATTATACATGATAATTGGAACTCCCTTTAAATATAATTTTTGTTTTTCTTGTTTTTTTTGTGTTTAGTCAAACTTTATTCCATGTTTTTATTTTTAATTATACTTATTAATATGAATTTAATTTAATATTAAAGAAATAAAAAAAACTATTTTTTTTTGTCCAAATAATCTTAATCTTCCATGATTTCTTTTTTCATTAAATGAAAAATTGAGAATTTAAAACAAGTTAAATATATTTGTAAAAGTTGAATAAAACTTTATTTTTATTTGTTAAACGTTTAAAACAATGATATGTATGTATGTGAGATCGTTTAAATTACAATAATTTTTAATATAAACTACATATTTGGTTAAAAAAACTTTAATAGTGCTTTTTGCTAAGACTAAGATTTAACTTAAGCGCAAATCACTCTCTATAAAAGCACGAAAATTAAGGAAAACTTGTCAATAGTTGCTTTCTTAAAAGCATCTGGAGCAATTTTTACAATTCGATTTGTTTAAAAGAGCTATAATCCGGAGACTCAAGAATCTCAAACCAGACTGTGTGTCCTATTCTTTAACTCCTGCTGAGGTTGAAAACACAATTCTAAACTATCAAAAGCTCTTGGTCCTGATGGCATCTTAATGCTAATGACAAAGAAACTTGGTAAAGTAGCAATAGAATATCACATCCACTTTCTCGAATTGTCGATTCGCCAATTGGTGATTTGTGATTCCATTCTAAAACCTAATAAACAAGCTCTTGGTCCTGATGGCATCTTAATGCTAATGACAAAGAAACTTGGTAAAGTAGCAATAGAATATCACATCCACTTTCTCGAATTCTCGATTCGCCAATTGGTGATTTGTGATTCCATTCTAAAACCTGATAAACCCGCTACAAACGGTGAATTATTCCGCTCTATTTCACTTTTATCACAAGTAGTAAAGGTTTTAGAATCGCTACTATTACCATCCCTGAAAGGGCATTACATGCTAGCCAATCACCAACATGGATTCAGGGAATCTCATAGTACCACGATAGCACTCAACTTGATAACTACTCAAATCGCTAACGGCCTCAATTAGCTGCCAACATGTCAACGCACAATTGTTGCGGCTCTGGACTTATCCAAAGCTTTTAATACGGTCGATCATTCCATGCTGATAAATGGCATCTCGAACACCACTCTACCCAACGACGTCAAATGCTTGATTGTCAATTATCTCTTTAGCAGAGATCAGAGACCGAAAGTCCAATTACCGCAAGATAACAATGGGCGTGGCACAAGGAGGAGTACTATCACCATACATTTATCTTCCATCGCTTCCTGAACCATCTCAAGATGTCTCGATGGTTTCATATGCAGATGATTGTACGGTATTCTCATCTGGCGTAAATATTGACGACATAAGGGCCAAAATATCCCAATACCTGGCCACCATCGTAGACCCTTTTCAGTAACGTACATTTTAGTTATCAACTTCCAAATCAACAGTGTCATTATAAACTTCATAGACTAAGGAAGCATCGCTTCCTGAACCACCTCAAGATGTCTCGGTGGTATCATATGCAGATGATTGTACGGTATTCTCATCTAGCGTAAATATTAACGACATAAGTGCCAAATTATCCCAATACCTGGCCACCATCGTAGACCATTTTCAGGTACGTAAATTTCAGTTATCAACTTCCATATCAACTGTGTCACAATTCACTTCATGGACTAAGGAAGTAAAGATAGAACTCAACATCTTAGTCGAAGACAGAATTATCCCTACGGTGCAGACTCCAAAAATTTTAGGGGTAAACTTGGACAATCTCCTTCACTTTTCTTTGCTCGCCACCTACATCAATCATAAAGTGAAATTCAGAAATACATTCCTAAAAGCACTCGCTGACACTACCTCCTGGGGCATGGATAAGGAGACAATCACGGCGACATACAAAGCAATTGGTCGCTTCCTCCTTAATTACTCTGCCCCAATATGAACCCCTATCACAGTGACACACAATGGCGAATAGTGCAGACATCGCGAAATAATGCACTTCCAATCGCAAGCGGATTGGCATGTCTACAGCCATGTCATCCCAACCATCAAATTCTGATGGAAGATAACCACTCCCCCCTCCCTCGACACATTCGATCAGACTTTCGGCGTTATATTAGAGACATCCATTAGAGACGTCCCAACTGACGTCGACAGATTGTCAAGCGGCGGCCACATAAGCTATTAATAGCTACAGGTGCAATAAAGTCTTAAATCAACATATACTCGTGATTACGGATAGTGAGGGGCAATTACCCAAGCAAATTCGTTCAATCTTTTCCTTGAATCCTGTCTGTAATAGTCATTAGTTCAGCATTTTGAATATTCACCGGGTATCTCTATGCGAAGCTGACATACCGGAGGAGCATAATTAGCCACATGACGTGCAATTAGAAGTTAAACGGGATGTCAAAAGAAACCCACAAAATTGGTTAGGTTAGGCAGGGTTATGTAGTAAAACAGGTGTAACTCTACTCGGAGAGCACTTTTATCCATTGTGATTACTTTCAGAGAAGTGAAGAAAGAACAAAAGAAGATAAAGAAGAAAGTAACTAGACTAAGAGATTCCACCTAGTTCCTGGAAATAATTGGTGATCAAAATCCTTACTATAATCTGGAAAAAAACGACTAAGTCGTGGAACTTATTTGCCAGACATTTCAGCCTTAGACCTTGTTTTCTAGGACAGTGGCAGTTAATATAATCAACAGTCTCTAGTTCCTTAACATCCTAGCATAACCTTTCGAACTCCGACTTAATAGAATAATACACGGATAATCGCTATCAGAGTCCTTAGATTACACCTTTCTAGTCCAAAAAGTAGCTTGATTGCTTTTACATCAAGTTTTGACCATAAGTCCTTTGATACCTTACAATCCATTCTACTATACCAGGAGTTATTGATGATAATGTCTCAGAATCTTTCATAGATTAATCTCTAATAGTGACAAATAGGTGGTTCTATACTCCAGTCCCACTTTTAGATTCGAAACTCAATGTCGGAGTTAGATTTCCATCGACTACGAGGCCAAGATTAAGTTTTACCAAAGAACATTTAATACATAGAATGTGCGTCTGTCTCATACAAGATAAATTTCCAATAGCGGGTCGTGATACATAAAGAATACGTATAATTCATAACAACCCGCACGTCGAGATGCGTATTCTTGTAATAAATATTCTTTGGTTTTAAATCTATGTGGTGTAAAGCTGATAATTTCCTTAGAAATAGCTGCAGGTTTGGCATAGTGAATAAATTGTGTTATTCTTAAAAATAACCGTAATCCTTAGCTGTCGAGTATTATAGCAAAAATTGTATTTCCATCCCTTTTTATACCCTACACCACTTTAGTGGGGAGGGTATATTGGATTTGTGCTGATGTTTGTAACATATAAAAATATTCGTCCTAGACCTTAAGTATACCAATCGGCTTAGAATCGTTTTCTGAGTCGATTAAGCTATGTCCGTCCGTCCGTCCGTCTGGCTGGTTGGCTGGTTGTCCATGTAAACCTTGTGCGCAAGCTACAGGTCGCAATTTTCAAGATAATTGGATGAAATTTGGCACGCACGTTTTATTTGACCCAAGGACGAAGCCTATTGAAAATGGTTAAAATCGGTCCATTATTTCACCTAGCCCCCATAGAACAGAACCGCCCGAAAAGGGCTTCTGAGCTCATAATTATGTTAAATATACAGATATATCGATAAAATACGGCACAACTAAGTTTTATAGAAGTCTTGATAACCCTGCCAAATTTCATAAAGATCGGGCCCCATTTGACCCTAGCTCCCATACAAAGTCCCCTTCAGAAAATTACTTGAATGTCCCAAATTAACTTATAAACACAAATATCGCGATGAAATTCAGCACAATAAAATATTATGTAAATATAAATATATTCACAAAATTTTATCGGGCTTGGTCCATATTTGCCCCTAGCCCCCATATAAAGCCTCTTTCAGAAAATTAGTTTTTCATCCATAAATTGCTTAAATGTATCGGAACAAGGGAATATTGAAGATAAATGCGATATTATGAAAAATAAATCACATTTAATATTCATAACTGGTGTAGGGTATCATATGGTCGGCCACGCCCGACTATACTTTCTTACTTGTTTCCCCTACAAATATTCATTCACAATAGTTCATTTCGTTCGTAAATTTCTCGCGAAAGTAAAAAATTTGCAATAAATATTCTTTGGTTTTAAATCTATGTGGTGTAAAGCTGATAATTTCCTTAGAAATAGCTTCAGGTTTCGCACAGTGAATAAATTGTGTTATTCTTAAAAATAACCATAATCTTTCCCTGTCGAGTATTATAGCAAAAATTGTATTTCCATCCCTTTTTTCACTACAAATATTCATTCACAATAGTTTTTTCGTTCGTAAATTTCTCGCGAAAGTAAATAAATTTGCCTAATTCTTTAAAATAACCATAATCAATGTTTTGTTCGTGAAAACTTTTAAAATGCCAAATAAAAGAAAATGGAAAAATATTTAAAATTATGTTTTATTCATAATAGTGGCGAATATATTAAAAAAATGCTTTAGATTTTTGCAGCAAATTATTTTAGTAAAAAAGTTTAATAATTTGCAAATAAACTGCAAAGAGTGATTTGCGCTATAGTTATTTCTAACATTTCATGATACTTTCCTAAAAAGCGTATTTTAACATTTATTGGCCCCTGATTTGATTTTTTTGAAAACCATTCCTAAATACATACTTTTTACATGATAAAATACATAATAAATAATAACGATTTAGATCAAAAGAAAAATTAGCACAAAATTCCAATTTTTTTCATAAAAATTTTTACATATTATTTTATATTTCGAAAGCAATAATCCTATTAAAATTAAGCAAATTTTAATAACATTAAAAATAACCTAGAATAATTGCAACTAAAAAGATTTGTGACTTTCATTTCTATATTTATAGTTTGTAGTATAACCTCCAATATTCCTAAAAAATATTCAAAATCAACAGATCTTAAAAAAATATTTTTAATTTTAAATAAATAGTTCATAATAAAACTAATAACATTATAATTAGCCACATTTTGTCAAACTAGGCTTTCCAAAATTGTATGTAATAAAAAAACAAAAAACAAAAAAAAAAAAACAATAATAGAATTTTGTTGTAGTAGCAAAATTAAATGGCAGCTAATTTTGTGTATTTTATTGTTTATTTCAACTTTTTAATAAGTAATTAATTTAATTAACTAATACGAATACATACATATAATAATAATAATTTTTTTATATAAAATGTACTATATTAATACAAAATAACACAAAAATAACTATTTTTTATAATCAAATACAAATTTAGTCCAATAAAATGCTTATTAAGCTTAAACAAATATAATTTTGATTTTAAGCAAGTAGTAAGTGTAAAAAAATCGATTTAAAATTCAATATCTTTTCTTATAAATCTTTCATTATTTGGATCATCTATGGTAATGGTAAGTTCTTCATAAACATCTTGACCCAAGGTTATATCACTGTTGATACGAAAATATGGACCACTATCAGCTGGATAAAAGAAAAGATGAAGGTAATGGAAAATGGCAATATAAAAATCCGTCCACTTTATATACTTACTCTTCATGGGTAAAATTTCTATATCGCTTTGTATGTGTGGTTTTCCTTCGATGGCAAATGAAGTCCATATCTCTACCATTTTCATAGCCATCTTAGTGTCTTCTCCATTCAAATGATGTGTTGAAAATAGATAAATATTATCATTGGAATGATGTACACCACCTTCAAATGGATAATGTTCATTGCCAAATTCGTAACCAAAACGTGTATTCGAGCCTTCATAATCAAAGCTATACAAATAAACGGGTGCTAGATTTTTGTTTAGCATGTTCTTAGCCAAAGTTAAAACCGGGGATTTCATGGCTACAATACTGGTTAGCTAAAAATTGAATTAGTTAGAATAAAAAAGATGTTTAAAGTTTTACTTTAAAATGCTGTTGATCATTTGAAAAATTTAGAGAAAGATTCAGTCATAATCCCTTTGTGAAGTGGTCCTCAATCAATATTTGTAATACACAAAGTTTACTCAATAGACAAGCCAATAGACAAGAACGGAAACGTTTCTCTTACATAGATCAGTCTATATCCGCTACAGATCGACAATGCATATAAGGTGAAAATTGTTCCTCCATGCCGATCTCAGTTAGTTCAGTTCAACACTTGTTTTCGGCGGTAGGTTTTCATCTATTTCAGCTATAATCGGTGGAAGCTTTCCAAGTACGATATTCATGCGGTAACCAGAAACCCCGGTATTCAAAGCTTCTGTATACGGATTATGATCCAAGGGATAATTTCCTCGTATACACGATAGTCCTTGCAGATATTCCTCGGGACTCTACAGGCAATTGTATCCCTGACGAGCTCGCGAAGGCGGGTTCGCAGTTGCCCGATAGGAGTATGCAAAAGACTCATAGATAACATGTTTTATGAACTCTCAAAGGCAAGATGGGAAAATGAGCCAACTTGTACTCAAACAAAGAAGATATGGCCAAAGTTCGATAAAGGGCTCACGGACCATCTTCTAAGACATAGCCGAACACAACTCAGCAAAACTATAGCTGTCATCACAGGACACTGTAAATTTGGTAACCACGCAATTCGACTTGGATTACCTTATAACGACTACTGCAGAAGCTGTCAAGATGAGGAAGAAGAGAAATCAATAGAACATCTTCTTTGCCACTGTCCGGCACTGGAGGACAACTCAGAATTATCAGGGACTAAAATAGATAACCCGAACACCTTTATCAGGCATTGCGATTGGTTTGACGGGACAAACTCAAATATCACTGATTAGTAGCTTTTTCGAGTCCGAGACTCTTTTCCTCTTATGTTATGTTCTTAATCTCTATCTATTTATCTTAATCTCCGTCTTTCAACTTTCTATGTCCTCTTCCTCTTTTCTTTTTAATATACTTACAGGTACCACAAAGGGACCAAAAGAACCCACGTGTGCATCTATTGCACCTTGAACTACCAATCTACCAACCAACCATTTCTGAGCAGATAGACTACTCGCATTTCGTGCCCTGTTTTTCTCGGAAAAGGATTTTGATTCTCGGCTCTACAAGAACGTAGACTGAGATATCTTGCGATCTCTTCATATGCACTAATCATAAGTAAGAAGTAAAAAACTAGTTCTTATAATATTGAAAACTTACGTCAAAATATGCTGGTGTGGCATTTTTGTGGTCATTACTATCTAGCAAATTTTTCGAAAACAAAAGTTTTGTTAAAAGATTTTTAGAAAGGCCAGTGTCATCCTTCGACATGTCCAATAATCCTTTGGCAAAATCTCGGACGGTAATAGAATCAAGATTTTCCGTATATGATTTCATTGCATCATAATAAGCTAAAAATATGTATTTAAGACAATTAATTTAAATATCAAATATGAATCTATATTTTCCGCTAAAATACAATACATTTTACTTACAGGCCAATACAAAAGTACCATCATGTTTAGTAAATCCTGTCATCATAGGCACGGATCGGTTAAAATCTTTTAACAAACTTTCTGGTTCAGATGGTAAAATTCTATAAAAATCACCCACAATAGGTGCAAATGATTCCTAAAACAATTTTTAATAAAATTTTAATAAAAATACAATAGATTCCTAATATTCCATTACCTACCGACTCGGTGACTTCCAGTAGTTTAGAAACCTTAACATTTCTCAAACACTCATAAAGTTCATCTTTCCTCTCACATTTATTACACTCTAAGTTCGAACAAATTCGTTTAACTTGTTCCAACGGTTCACGATTTATTGCCCATGTACCAAATATCGAACCAGATTGTACTATTGATCTCTGAAAATATTCTATCGGTGTATTGGGACTTAATAACAAAACCCCAGACATGGCCGTACCAGCGCTTTGACCAAATATAGTGACTTGTTTTGGATCACCACCGAATAGGTGTATATAATCCTGAACCCATTGAAGAGCTAATAGTAAATCGCCAACTGGAGCATTACCTGGCATTTCTTCACTTAGCGTAGATAACCATCCTAATGCTCCGATGCGATAATTTGGCACAACTAAAACAACATCTTTTTCCAATATATGTCGTGGGGGGTGATCGATATTTGAACCGTTATAGAAACCGCCACCATAAATGTAAAACATAACTGGCATTTTAGCTGTTAACTGTAGCAAACGATTGGATCATACATATTTGGAAGAGATCATAGATTTGTTGCCGTTTTACTTACATTTTTAGTGTAGACACATAAATTCAAACAATCTTCTAAATCCTGTTTCAATTCAGCGTTGCTAAGTTGTGAGATTGTTGTAATAACTGGACAGCGACGTCCATATGTTGTTGCATCTAAGACATGACGCCATGGCAAACGTTTAATAGGCGGCTAAAAATAATACAAGTATGGAAAAGTAGATAGATAGATAGATAGATAGATAGATAGATAGATAGATAGATAGATAGATAGATAGATAGATAGATAGATAGATGATAGATAGATAGATAGATAGATAGATAGATAGATAGATAGATAGATATAGATAGATGATGATAGATAGTATAGATAGATCGCTCGCTAGATCGATCTCTCGATAGATACTGATCGCTAGCTAGCTCGTCGATCGCTCTCGCTCGCTCGCTGCTCGCTAGCGTTCGTCGGCTCCTCTCTCGCTTCGCTCGTCGGCTCGCTCGCTCGCTCGCTCGCTAGCTCGCTCGCTCGCTCGCTCCTCGCTCGCTCGCTCGTCTCGCTCGCTCGCTCGCTCGCTCGCTCGCTCGCTCGCTCGCTCGCTGCTCGCTCCTCGCTTCTGGCGCTCCTCCCCCCCCCTCTCCCTTCTTTGTATTTTTGCTGATTTAAGTGAGTGAAAGTTTTTTCTGCACAAATGTTAATTGAATGAAACTAATTTATGCAAATTAGATAGACCTTGACCTATAGAATACTAAAGTTTTCACAAAATAGTGCAAATGTATATTCCATTATTAATTCCTAACTCCAATATATACAATTAAAATGTTGATTTTGAAATACTTTATGAATAACGCCTTTAAACGCTATTAAGAAGATAGACAAATTTCTATGCAAGTATTTATTCTATCTTTGTTCAAATAAAACAACCTTTGAAACATGTCTACGTCTAACTAGTAAAGCCCCCAATGAAATCTACTTATCTTTTTATAACACTCACCTTAAAACGTAATGGACCACGCGGTGATTCAGCAAATGGTATACCGCGAAAACGCATAAATGTCTGCTGAGACCATAATGTTGTCTCGTAATCACCCTGAATCGTGCCCTGATTGGGTATGTCTAGCGTTACTGTAGGTGGTGCGACATATTGATCGCTCGATCGGCTAAAACAAAGAACAACCACGATAACTAATACTACACTCGTGAGTAAAGAATTCATTATAAGTACGATGAGCGGTCGCATAACACTGAAGGTACGTGGTCAACGATAACGGCTAATATGTCAATATTAAATAAATAATTTAGCTTTAATACGAATATTTAGATTTGCCAGAGATATTGTAGTTCTCACTTAAAATTAGGCATGTAAACTGATAATTGTATTAGAAAATTTTGCGAGGAATATGTGTATAAATAAAAATACACTAACAATTATTGTCACTCTTTAAATTGTTTGATAAGAAATAAATAATCTTTATAGTATACACAAATACTCACTCTTTAGTATAAAGTAAATATTTGAAATTAAAAAATGATTATTTTTATTGTTTATTAAAATGCATTTTGAGAAAACGGGTTTGTTTATAATAATACTTGTTGTGAACAGTATATAATTCTTATTAAGAAACAATTTTTACTTAACTTTGTTTTATAATTAGACTTAAATATGTTTGTCGCTAATTATGCTGTAATTAGGTACCATATTTTCATTTTAGGCGTTTCTTGGAAAAGACAAATGTGTTTACAGGAAATACTTTCAATTATTAAAGTTTTATATCACAAATAACTAGATCTTAATATAAAATACAACATTAAATACCTCAATTTAAGTTTTTTTCCTTAATCCTTCTCCAAATTAAGAATACAAATAAACCATATAGTAACCGCCATTGTATACTTCCGTTTTAATACAAATTAAACCTACACATTAGCAATACTCAAAAATACTACTCTGTTGAGTTGAAAAAGAACAATAATATTGCAACTCTGTTAATACTATATATTACAACTGTGTATTTTTTGTGTTGCTCTTGGAAACAAGTAAAAAAATTTTTCAGCACTGAAAAAAAAGTGAAAAATATCCAAGAAGGCGTTTAATAAATAAAAATAAATACAATTTCTTAATTTTAACATTCTTTTTAACAATATAAATAAATTAAAAGTTAATTTTAACAGCACTAAAGTGTGTAATTGAGTAAAATAAATAGACACAAAATTTTGCTGCCAACAGCGACGTCAATGTATCGAAAAAATTTCATGAAATTCATAAAAAACAGATTGCTGCAAAATATTACAGAAACTTGGCATAATTTATGGTTTATAAATTTTAATTTATAAAACACAACAAAATTGTTTGATTAATTTTGATAGTGAAAATAAACGCATACAGAGAAATACTTAAACAAACCAATACGAAAGCTGCAAACACAAAATATAAAATAAAATTAAGAAAGAAGACAAAAAATAAAAAAAAATCGGCGCTCACGCAAGCGTCTACCGCAATATTAATTCTTGTGTTGTTTTTGTTGCTGTTGTTGTGTGTACAATTCATTCAGTGTTTAACTGTCTCGTCTTGTTGCTGTTTTGTTTATTGTTGTTTCTGTTGTTGTAGTTGTTGATATTTAAGTACAATATTTCTTGAATATTATATTGTAAACTACTTACTCGCTCATTCACTCGTCAGTAGTTGGTTAATATATTTATCGTCGCTAGTAGCAGCAACAACAGCAAAACGATCAATTAAAAGTAGAAGCTATGGGTTATGACCTACATCGTTTCCAGGGCGAGGTCGATGAAGAACTAACATGTCCCATTTGTTCTGGTGTCCTAGAAGAACCTTTACAGGTTAGTCATCTCTATTATTTACTCTCACTCATAGAAAAATATTAGATTTTTATAATGGAAATTGTCTATTCTATTTAGGCTGCTATGTGTGAACATGCATTTAGGCATGTAAACTGATAATTGTATTAGAAAATTTTGCGAGGAATATGTGTATAAATAAAAATACACTAACAATTATTGTCACTCTTTAAATTGTTTGATAAGAAATAAATAATCTTTATAGTATACACAAATACTCACTCTTTAGTATAAAGTAAATATTTGAAATTAAAAAATGATTATTTTTATTGTTTATTAAAATGCATTTTGAGAAAACGGGTTTGTTTATAATAATACTTGTTGTGAACAGTATATAATTCTTATTAAGAAACAATTTTTACTTAACTTTGTTTTATAATTAGACTTAAATATGTTTGTCGCTAATTATGCTGTAATTAGGTACCATATTTTCATTTTAGGCGTTTCTTGGAAAAGACAAATGTGTTTACAGGAAATACTTTCAATTATTAAAGTTTTATATCACAAATAACTAGATCTTAATATAAAATACAACATTAAATACCTCAATTTAAGTTTTTTTCCTTAATCCTTCTCCAAATTAAGAATACAAATAAACCATATAGTAACCGCCATTGTATACTTCCGTTTTAATACAAATTAAACCTACACATTAGCAATACTCAAAAATACTACTCTGTTGAGTTGAAAAAGAACAATAATATTGCAACTCTGTTAATACTATATATTACAACTGTGTATTTTTTGTGTTGCTCTTGGAAACAAGTAAAAAAATTTTTCAGCACTGAAAAAAAAGTGAAAAATATCCAAGAAGGCGTTTAATAAATAAAAATAAATACAATTTCTTAATTTTAACATTCTTTTTAACAATATAAATAAATTAAAAGTTAATTTTAACAGCACTAAAGTGTGTAATTGAGTAAAATAAATAGACACAAAATTTTGCTGCCAACAGCGACGTCAATGTATCGAAAAAATTTCATGAAATTCATAAAAAACAGATTGCTGCAAAATATTACAGAAACTTGGCATAATTTATGGTTTATAAATTTTAATTTATAAAACACAACAAAATTGTTTGATTAATTTTGATAGTGAAAATAAACGCATACAGAGAAATACTTAAACAAACCAATACGAAAGCTGCAAACACAAAATATAAAATAAAATTAAGAAAGAAGACAAAAAATAAAAAAAAATCGGCGCTCACGCAAGCGTCTACCGCAATATTAATTCTTGTGTTGTTTTTGTTGCTGTTGTTGTGTGTACAATTCATTCAGTGTTTAACTGTCTCGTCTTGTTGCTGTTTTGTTTATTGTTGTTTCTGTTGTTGTAGTTGTTGATATTTAAGTACAATATTTCTTGAATATTATATTGTAAACTACTTACTCGCTCATTCACTCGTCAGTAGTTGGTTAATATATTTATCGTCGCTAGTAGCAGCAACAACAGCAAAACGATCAATTAAAAGTAGAAGCTATGGGTTATGACCTACATCGTTTCCAGGGCGAGGTCGATGAAGAACTAACATGTCCCATTTGTTCTGGTGTCCTAGAAGAACCTTTACAGGTTAGTCATCTCTATTATTTACTCTCACTCATAGAAAAATATTAGATTTTTATAATGGAAATTGTCTATTCTATTTAGGCTGCTATGTGTGAACATGCTTTCTGTCGTGCCTGTATAAATGAATGGCTTTCACGTCAACCAACCTGCCCAGTTGATCGCAATGCATTAACTACAGCCAACCTACGTGCGGTACCCAGAATATTACGAAATCTGCTATCACGGTAAGTTTCTTGTTTGTGCAACAAGTTTTTTTGTATACATTCATTTATTTGGACGTTTTGACTTGAATATCATCTGTATTGGGGAAGTGAGAAAAGTTACTTTAATAGCATTTATAGATGATATATATTCGTTTGGGAGGGTGTATGCACGCACTAGAATCTATTAACATCCGCTTTAAAACGACAACAGATAGAAAATAATCAAAAGGTCTGCAAAGTGAACAAATTGGTAGAAATGTTCACGTTCAGTGCATTCTATTCCGATGATAGTGTTGTGATGAAGTGACTGAATTAATATGATGAAGTGACTGAAAAAGGAAGATGATGTGACTAAAATAATAAGATGAAGTGACTGAATTAGTAAGTTAGTTAGTTAGAAATTAATGCAGTCTGGCATCATAAATGATCACTTATCTCTTTGACTATGCTATGGTCACATCCGTTTTTCAATCCACCCATACAAAATATATACTATTTTTTACTATTTACTCCTTTTCCCCAGACTCTCTATTACCTGTGATAATGCTGCCTACGGTTGTACTTTAGTTCTAAAACTCGATGCTCTCAATAATCACTTAGAAGAGTGTGAACATAATCCCAAAAAACCTTTACCCTGTGAAAAGGGTTGTGGATTTGTTATACCCAAAGATGAACTTAAGGATCACAATTGTGTACGAGAATTACGTACAATGATACTAACACAACAGCAAAAGATGATTGAATTTAAAACAGAAATTGCCGATCAAAATTTAACCATAAACGAGCTGAAACGCGAATTACAATTATTTAAAGATTTTATGCGTGCTATGAGAGTTTCAAATCCAGCAATGCGTGCTATAGCCGATCAAATGGAACGTGATGAAGTTATACGTTGGAGTAGTACATTGGCCCGAGCACGAGTAACTCGCTGGGGAGGCATGATCTCAACACCAGATGATGCTTTACAGGTGGGAAGTTTTTTTGCATTTATTTTATGCTGCGTAGCTATATAATAATTGAGAGTTTTCTTGTGTTATAATTTTCCCCTTATAGATGATGATTAAACGTGCTTTATCCGAATCGGGTTGTCCTCCTCATATTTTAGATAATCTCATGGAAAATTGTCATGAACGACGTTGGCCACGTGGTTTAAGTTCGCTAGAGACTAGACAGAATAATCGTCGAATATATGATAATTATGTGTGTCGGCGTGTACCAGGTAATTTAATTGTTTATTTTTTTTAATTAATTTTGAGGTAATTATTTGACACAAATTTTTGGAGGTATAGTGTAAAGTACCAATTTCTAATACTTCAAATTAAAAAAGTTTTTGTGATGTTAAAAAAATTATATATAAAAATTAGTGAATATGTAGAAACTGTGTTAGTCTGTTCTAAGAATAAAGAAATGAACTGCATCGCTATTTGGTGACAGTCAATCAAACAAATTCAGTTGAGTTGACATCCTCGATGTTTCAATTATAACAACGAAAGTTTGATCGGATGTATTGAGATCTACCATCAAAATTTAAAGCTAGAGATGGTATAGGTGATGACATGACACCAGAAATTGTGCTGTCAATGAGACAAGATGATTGACATCATGCAGGTTTCCTTATGCAGATTATCCAAGTCTGTTATATATGTACATTGTGTACACTAAGAAATAGGCTCAAAAAGAGAGTTAGGTAATAAAGGATGTAGCAATCAATTTCTTTATATGTTGATACATTTGTACACACCAGGAGGTGCTAGCGAAAGCTTTAAAGGACCTTATGATAACATCTCACTTTGTAGTTAAAAGAAGTGAAGAAAGATGTCGGAAGACTTTCTGTATAATTTTTGGGGTTTGTACAATATATACAGGGATCCATTCCCTTAAATCCCTTAAAAAAAGCAAAATATAATAAAAACAATGAATTAGAGGACAATGTCCAATGCGAAACATTTATAGAAAGGAATTCTCTATAGCTCTTCACCTGAATATTTCCCTGATAAATCTTGCAGGTTGCCTATATATATACCGAGCACCATCTCCTAGTTCATTGTGGAATCTTTGCCATTTCTGTCTCAGACTCTGTGCAATGAGACTGTTTTTAGCTCTAATTCGTCTATATACAACCAAACCAAAGGCTCCAAATGTGCACTGACAAATTATTGCTCCTACTAGAACCCTTAGGTCCTTTTTGCACAGTCCTAATAGCATTGTGGTTGTTTGGCACCCAATATTGGTTACTCGACGATACATGCATCCTAACCCCCAAATTAGAATAAGAAATACTTAATTATTTATGTTAGTGCCTGTGAGTGAAAGGGAAGACGGAGACTTAGTAGTACAATTGAGGATTTTAATGACAGGCGCGAAACGGTTTAAGTATCAGGAAATATTTATTCGCGGTAGCAATTGAGGAAACAGCACCAACTGTCTGGAATGCCTGGGTAATCATCTCCTAAAATCCGTATATAGGACTATGTTGCCTTTATAGCCACAGTAACCTGGTCTCCTCATTTAGATGATGCACATTCAACACTTCCGGTTGCAATTCGAAATGTATTATTCTCATCATTGGACAACCCTAAGAAATGAGGGCCATATTGGTGAAGTATAATTTAGAAGAAAGAGAAGTATTTACTGGTTATAGCTGAGAAGTCGAATCGTATCGGAATTGAAGTGATCGAAGAATCTTACAGATTCCATGAGCACCAAGATCTTCGGAAGTTTTTGAGTTTGAAATGATTTTTATACTTCATCGGAACTCATTCGATTTATTTGATTCTAAAGATCATGGCTGCAGTTTTAGGAGGTGGGATGTTCGACTAATTGTTGGCAGAACAATGTGGTCACTTATGGAGTTACAATCGACGATTCTAATAAATTGATCCTTTCTATTATCTCTCAATGAAAAGTCTTTGGTGGTTGGTCTCTTAGACTTGTTGGGGATTTTGAAAATGTGGCTATTCATAGCTGTTTTAACAGGTCTTTTTTGAATCGTTGAACATTCCAATTGATTGGTTCTTTTCTATATTAAACACGTGTATGTAGTTGTCCAGTGTGTGAGTTGAGGTATGATTAATAAACCAAGAGTGGCTTCTATTCATACAGCAAACACACTGAAGTAGGTCAGATATCAGCTGAGTAAATCCGGAACAGGATAGCATACATTTATCACCATTCAACCCATCACACAAACCCATTCATTTAGCACATTAATACCCATCTCACTCGAACGTACAGCCTTGATTCACACATCATTCAGGATGATTACTCTGTAACTCGAATTTGTATGTTAAATACATTGTGTGTTTGAAAACTTTTTCATTTGAATTGAAATACGAAGTAACTCCCTGCCCTTGTGACATCAACTCATTTCTCAACATATAGTCCACAGTAACTCTTCCTTGGGTTCATTTTGAGTCGGCTACAGCATCGGAAACTCATCCTGAAATATTAATTTCAATGTGCATCAGTCTTTAAACTAACATTCTCTGCCGCGATTTGGGTTTCAATAATAAAATAAACATTACGTGCACTCCCAATAACCATAGCAAGACAAAGTCCAAGATAATTTTTTGCGGGCAATTGATTCTCGTGGTACCAGATAGGTTAGACCGTGAGGAAAATGACTCCTCCGGATTATATTCCTGACAGTGTCACTGCTTTGCGGAGTCCTGTTGAATCGGCAACAGAATCAGAAACTCATCCTGTGTATCAGCCTTTAATCTAAAATTGTTTCCAGAACAAGACAAAGACCAAGACAATATCCTGCGGCAACTGGTTCTCGTGGCACCAGATAGATAAGACCAGATGGGTAATGACTCCTCCTGATTATATTCCGGCAGACTACCAGTAGCACTTCTTTATGACAATGGCATCAAGGCGAGGGCCGATGATATGCCTCCGGTGAGAACCTTATAAATTGTTTACTTTTCAACCACGGCCACGTAGACAACATCTAAAAGTTTCAAGCGAAATGTTCACCACCTCGGCCCCTTTACATATTCTGCATTTTAAGACCAGAGTAATAAAGTCACCTTAGAAATGCCCGTTTATCTCGTATTGCGATGATGATAATTTGGGTCAAATGTCAAACTATTTTGGTCAATAAAAAAAACATATAGTCGGTACAATTAACATAGAATGAATGTTTTTAAAAGCTTCCTGAAAACCTTGTAGGTCTGTAGTCTGAGCAGTATTAATTATAAAGGATAACACACATTGATTTCGGAAGGTTACAATTTTGGATTTGAGGGGTATTACAACTAAGTTTTGAAATCTTTGCAATAAAGCAATCATTTGTAGCTACAAATCTATTATAAATGAAACAAAAAACAATTCGTGGCATCATCTCGTAACTAATATTTATTCTCAATTTAAATTTTTAGGCAAACAAGCTGTTTTAGTCCTAAGTTGTGATAATGCTCACATGTCGGAAGATGTTATGGTCGAGCCAGGTCTTGTTATGATTTTTGCTCATGGCATAGAATAAGAAAACTTAATTATAAATAATTAAGATTGTTTTGAATGTGTGTGTATGTTTGTTATACATTATCATTGAAATGCTATAAAAAAATTTACATTTAAAAAAATCTATATATTACTTATAGTTTTAAACGTATCTAAAAAAAAGTAATCATGATAAAAGCAAAAAAAGGAAAACAGAAATATTGAAACTTATCTAAATAATGTTAATTATTTTTTAATAAGCTGTTTTTTTAACTAAACAAATACACAATTATACAAACAGATATTTCTAATTCTATGAATACCATCATGACTTTATTTTTTAAATAACTCATTTTATTTGTATATATAAATATTAAAGAAAATATAAACATCATGGCTTTAATTTTAAAAACGGCCTTTAGATAATATTTTTTGCTATTTTTTTTTTATATGTTACGTATGTGCTGATAACAGTTTACGTTTTTTTTTTTTTGCTTTATATATAATTTATTTGTTAAGTTTTTATGCCTTTAAGTTTAGCTCAACATCTATTCAATTTAATTAGTTGGCAGCAACAACAATATATTATTTTAAATGTAAGCGATCTCGACACCTTAAGTGTTTTACAAATAATAATTATTTATATGCATACATTTATAATGTTTTTGTTTAGTAATATACATACATACATACCTACATACATACGTACGTTGCTACTACTATTGTACGTATGTATATATGTTTTTGTATTTAATTTATAAATTTTATTTTTGTATTAATCTACAAATTAATTCATCGTTTGCCTGTTTTGATTTTGAAATTCCAATTGCACTTTTGTTTTGTTTCCATTTAGTTTTATTTTAATTTTTGGCCTTTTTTCCTTTATTACTATTAGTTGGCATTTTTCCTATTAGTTCTTAGTATGCGTTACACAAGACTTGTAAAATTAATTAATTATTCTTTATAAAGAACAAAATTATAATAAAAAATAGTTGTAAGTAAATGATTTATTAGAGAAACGTTATAAATAATAAATATCACTTTAATTATATGAAAATTGTCCTTAAAGTAAAACATGATACAAAAATAAAAAAAATAAGTAAATAAATTTAATCATATGGTTTTATTTGTAACTAACTCGATCCGGTGGGCGCTGTTGAACGATGTTTAAGCTATCAGCGCTCTTTGTTAAATTGTTGGTTATTTGTTGAAAATAACTAGAGATTCTCTCTTTCAGCTCTACATACTTAATCTATCTCGTGATATGTTGTAAAGTCAGGTGTGCCAGATTATATATACATAGGTTCCCGAGAACCAGACAAATTTTCCGCGTTTGGCAACTTTAATGTTCTGCATTTCATTTCCCAAAAAGACCCTCTATCACCAAATTGAAACAAAACGGAATGTCTTTTTCTTACGATTCCGTTTTTAGTTGGAATACCTTTTTATGATCGTTGTGTAACTGAATGCGGAAATCTAATCGAAATTCAGAATAGATGTGAACATCACAACTATGATCCGCTGCCAACTTAAATGCTTACAATCCATCGAACTAGATATGGAGTATGTACTCAAGGAGGACAACTATATTTGACCCCTAATACCTATGTTACATGTGATTCGCAACTCTCATTTCCTAAAGTGTAAACTAGTGTCTCCACAGAATTCTTACCATTTATATAAAGGTGCTATCCGTGAGTTATCTGAGATGTATACAATCAGGTTGTGTTGCGTCCTAGAGCACTGTAATATAGACTAATAGTGGACGTCGGTGAAAACTCCTATCAGCCACTACTACAGGTTAATATCCGATTAATTCAGGAACTCCTCTAACCAATCCAGGTACAGTAGGATAGATTGCAGGGTATATAAGGCGTTATGGCCGAGGTTGGAATGCCAAGACATCCAGTATACTATTAGGGTTGGACAGGAGGACAGTTAGAATTCTGGTGGGAGTGATAACCGGTCACTGCTCAATAGGAGCGTTTTTGGGAAATTGGGTCTTTAATACACATGAGTTTTGTAGGTTGTGTGAGGACGAAAAGGGGACAGTACAACCTATTTTGTGCGATTGCCCTGGTGCGCAGAGTCTGATTCGTAAATGGCAAGGAAAATCATTACAAGATGATTTATTAGAAGTAGCTAGGTGTAGTTTAAGCGGCACTTTAGATTTTGCCAAAGGAGTGGATTGGCTATTTAGGCGTCGGGCCTCGTAGAATTCCCTTCCAATACTATCAACATTCTTTCTCTATTAGGATAGGAATTCATTAATTTCACACTTATCTCTCCGACTTTTCTATGTTTTCTATCTATTTTTCTTAAAGGGAATCATTATGGATCCTCTTGGGTCTTCTTGGGTATTCACTTTCTCAGGTATTTAATAGCAGCTTGACCATCAGTATAGATTTATATCCCTATTAGATATCCGATAGTACCTAGGCCAATATGCCTATTTTCAGATAAACTTCAGATATACTTGCAAATGGAGCAAAAGTCCTACTTAGTCTGACTGTAGTGCACATTCTCATCTTTATTGATACACTTGTCTATGATTGATCAGTATAGACATTTAAAGTAGGCTATTCATAAGAATCCGTAGAGATATGTTACTGGCAATCTCTTGTAAAAGTTTCTGGATTTGTAAGTAGATCTACTTGCAAGTGGAAAAAGGGGTTCTACTCAGTCTAAGGATCGACCGGTAGCCAGTTAAGCTGAACTAACAACGCCTTATTGGGAGTTCTTTTATGAGCACCAGTAATGGGAACTATCATAAGACGTTTCTTGTTTGAGGTTCTCATAAGTGCTAGGCCAATATGTTCACCTTTTATCACTAATATTTCAGCTAGGAGAACAGTACAATCAGATTTTATCATCAAATTCTTCAATGAAGGAGTTGCCATCAACTCCTCTATTTGACATTGATCTATCAGTGTAGACATGGAAACAGTCGACAGTTAAAGAACACAATTCTAAAGAATCCGTAGAGATATGATACTGGAAATCTCTTATAAAAGACAGTTCTGGAACACAATAGCATTATAAAGGTTTTGGAAGTTGATCTACTTGCAAGTGGAACAAAAGTACCACACAGTCTGATCGTAGTGCACATTGCCACTTGTCTGGCAAGAAGATCCGCCAGTTAAGCTGAACAAACAACGTCTTATTAGGAGTTCTTCTAAGAGCACCAGTTATGGGAAGAGTTGCTGATTTTATAACTTTTATAAGAGGTTTCCTGTTTGAGGTTCTGTTAAGTTCTTGGTTTAATAACCGTTTAAAACAGCCATTACTATGGTTATTATTCCAGTGAAAGCCTTTTGCATTTTTACAAACATATAAAACCGTCATGGCCTAAGTAGATCTAGAGAGTATATACATACATACTCCAGGATTATAACCTCATCCAGCGTTAGAACCTCATCAAAATGGAGAAGAGAGAATTGTGCAAATTTTGTATTTACCAGAGAATAATACAAGTTCCATTTTTCCAGAACTCACATTAAGCTCACAGTATATGCTCCCTGAGCTAATGATCTTTGAATAACGTTGCACTGATCTCGTTGTCTGAAAAACATTCGTTTCTTAAACAGGAAATATCGGTAATACTATCTTCACTACTTGAAGACTTCGAACCACCGATGAAGTATTTTTTCTTATTTTTTGGGAAGTTTACAGGACATTCCGATGATTTGCCTTTTACGTTGCATCTATTTAGTTCAGAATACATTAGAATGAGCTAAATAAGAATATTAAATATCTCTTATCTATATCTCTTTAAGCAAGATATAAACGCACTTAATAACTGATTGGCTGAGTTTATAATATAAAGATCGACTCGAAATATGGCAGTAGACATTGTCGAGTGTGATTGTGAGAGTCGATTCAAACGACATTTTCGAAAAGATAACTTTCCGAACCCATACACATAAGATAAGTTCAAAAGTTTTCCAAGTTTTTCATGAAATAACTCTAATGTTCGAACATAGCATATGTGCGATCAATTCTATATTTCATACAAATGTATTTTGTAACAGAAAAAATCTCTTAAATCCTACAAAATCATCTGTTTTTATAAAACAAGAAAAATAAACTTTTTTATAGGAAGAAAGAAGTTCACACATGCATGTTCACATGTTCGTATGTAAGAGTGAAACAAGTTTGTCTAAAAATATTAATGCAATCCTACAACATCACACAGCCAAATAGGAAAACGAGTTTGATCACACACTCACAATTTAATGTAATTCATATGGCGGATAAATAGAATCGACAGAAAAGTAATATGAGTACATACAGTCACTGCAGATAATATTCGTATATCGAGTAATTTACATCGATGATAATTATTGCATCAGACTTCCACTTATCATTTGACCATTGACTCCCTCTCGTTCAAAATGGGAATAAAGGTCTTTAGTAATACTATTTCCGTGGAAGTCCTGCGAATGAATTACAATTTTTAATTGATAACTTTAGTGATACGCTTTCACAATGGGTCGCACTATAGATAGAAGATAACACCCATCGGATTCGTCAGAATTGATCACAATTATCCAATGACAACTTTAATGAACGACTTTCGCCACCATTAAATGGTTCTGGACGTTCAATTAAGAGAATCCGAAATGTAAATAAACTCAATTAAAATAAAATTTTAGCTACAAGTTTAAAAGATTTAAAAAGGATTCTGAAATCCAGAGTTGCATTGTGGAGAGAATATAACATCCATCGGAAGACTTTTTTAAAGTGGAAACCCTACAAATGGATTATAATTGTCCAATGACAAATTTAATGGAAGGTTTTGAAGATTCTAAAATCCAGATGTCTATTATAGAGAGAAGATAACATCCACCAGAAGAGACAGATCTAGAGAGTATATTCATACTCCAGGAGAACTTGAGCAGTCAGAAATCGTTAGAACCCCACCATTAAGACAGGTAAGTAAGAATTGTGTAATTTTGTATTTACCAGAGAATAATATAAGTTAAATTTTTTCCGAACTCACATTGAGATCACAGCTTATGATCTTAAGAGCTTTTTTCAACCTTTGAATAACGTTGCAGTGACCTGGTTGTCTGAAACACATTGTTTTCTGAAACAGGGAACATCAGTATTGTAAAGTTTTAAGAAACTCCTTCATGAACTGTAACAGCGAACAGAGAAACTTAGTCTGTGATAACTTCCAAATGTTCGAGAAACAAATAGGAAAATGTAGTGAGAACTTGGAAAGCATGTTCAAAACTAAACCAGTATTATATTTGGTATTCCAATCCAGAGGTTTCTGTAAACGAATATTTTTAAATGTGAACAACCCCTTCC